GCTGTGCTAAAGGAATAAATAAGAAAACATTCTATTGTTCAATGAAGGCTGCCAGATACCAGATTGTGAGATGGCAGGAAAAAGATATTATCCAGTATTTCTGCTTCCATCTGGCAATTGTGCAAATTTTCTCAACTCAGATCTGGTAGCCCTACTACAACTGTGTTCAAGAAAATTCAAATAATCAGAAGCAGCAGATAAGTGAAATATAATCTCATACAACTACAATCATCATAACCAAGAAAGAAGGAGGCTTTTTTCAACATAACAGAATACAAAGACAGGAAAGGTCATCTTTCCTGATGCAGTCCCAAAGAACCGCCTCCATGATGAGGTACTAATGAGTAACTCTGGATGGGAAGCCTTCACTGCCACCAAAATAAACTTCCACCCTAGAACTAATAGCCAGTGTAGGGGTGATTTCCATGAATTTCCTGCCAGAAGACGATGATCCCCTATTTATTTGGTTTCAGTGAGGACGAGGAAAATTCATGGATGAAACAAATACATAAGCCTATCAAGGGCTACTAATTAAGATGGCCATATAGCTCCTCTAGAATCAGAGGCAGAGTGGACCTCTTGAAGAGCAGTTGCTGGCAAATATGAGCAGATTGTGTCTGTGGACTTCCCCATGGCACCTGGTTGGCCACAGAATTGACTGTTCTAAGTTACTTAATTTTGCAATTTTTAATGGTATACATTAACATATGAATTACAACTCCATGTTACAATAATTTCTTTAAAATATGCAGAGAGAGTTTTAAGTTGATTTTATTTTACTGATATCAAGAGCTCTCTTTAAATTATATGTAAAATAGTTACAATAGCAGAGAATAGCAGCTGTGTTGGTCCCATTAAAATGGGGGGGGGATGTTTTATAGAAGAAAATTCCTATGCTTAAATTGATCATAATACACAGCCCACATTTGAACTGTGCTAGCTAAATGTTAAAAGGCATTAGCTGTCAGCACATAAAATTATTACAGCTGTTATTGTATTTTACACAGAGCTAATTAAATCAGAGTTGTTACTAATAACTGTACTTTTGAAAAATATTTTGTTCTTCTAAATAGTGTTCAATTTTATGTAAACCTATTTGAACATAGAAAACATTACACACTAACTGATAAACAAAATCAAGGTAATAATTAATTCATATATTCTAAATCTCTTTATCAACAGCCAGTGTGCTGAGGTTTTAAAAAATATGGATAAGCTTAATCAACACAATGTGGCTTTGGAAATGAAAAAGGATAATATTAACTGTACTTGGTGGGGAGGGAGAAAGAGGGGGAAATGATGATAATGAATACAATGGCCTTGTTCAGGGTAAAAAAAGAAACAGAATGAACAGCAGAATCTTCTACTGAAGACTTGGCTGTTCTCCCAGGCTTTGGTGTATGGTGAGGGTTGACCCTCTCTTGAATGTGTTTTGTTATATTGTATGCTTTTCTCTGGACATGCATGACTCTTTTTCCCTGTTTTATGGGATTTTTTCCCAACTTTTAAAATTGTTAGTCCCTCAGAGTCATCTGGAATCAGGTGGCCACAAAATGTAGTAAAACGAACAAAGAAATACTACCTTGAAAATTTGTTAACTTACTGACTTTTAACTTTTAAGACTTTCATTCTTAGTCCCCATCTCCCTCAGCTCTGAAATATGTCTTGCCCTCTGTCCTCAACAGCCATAATAAAGCTCCTCAAACGTTTGTATTGTGAATAACACTTTCCACAGTCAGCAGATCTGATTTACAGGATATGTTCACAGAGATCATAAACCTTGGATAAGCATAAAATGCATGAATAGGTCATGTTCCAAGAGAATCATGCACATAAACACAGATGCATGCAGAAAGAGAAAGACTTCTTTTCTCTTACATAGTTGATTCTCACTTGCTATTCATGAATCTGAGGTTCCTATTCAAATTGTGGCTGATGAAACACAGCAGCCATCCATACCATAGTTTGAAACTGCCTTATTGAGTCAGGGACCAGAGGGTCTTTTAAAATACAGTGTACGAGTCACATGAACTGAAAATGAATATGGGCAGATTCTTTGCCCAAGCTATACATGCTTGCTTTTATGTACAAGCCAGCCCATAATGGTGTTAGGTCTTTTCATTTAGAATTAGGCTCAGTTTACTATCCAATCCCTTACTAACTACGCTTGATCCTGTTATTTTTTTTTCCAGATCAGTCAAGGTCACTAGGTACAGGTTTCAATGAAGAAACTTATCCAACCAGTATGTGAATGGTCACAGTGTTTCCTGACCTTCACCATCTTTGTCCTCCCACTGCTGACGAAGGCTGCTGACATCCCTCTGCTGACAAAGGCCCGGGAAGGCATGCCCGGGAAGGCCTCACATGGCCAGCAGCTGGGTGCACCTCGTCAGCAGCAGGAGGAAGATGATAGCGAAGGTCAGCTGGGGGCGGTGGCAGCAGGCAGGGCAGCAGGGGTGGCGGAATGCAGGGTGACCAAAAGGGCAGAGATGGGGGGAAATAGGTGGGTGGGGGGAGCTGAAGCAGAGGCGAGCACAACAGGGCAGGAGAAACGTGAAGTCCTCACCTAATGACAGCACAGTCCCGGCCTAACAACCGGAACTGGGATTGTCAAAACTGCTATCACTAAGCAGTGCGTTCATGTGATGTTGGTTAGGGACAGAGATTCTGGTTCCAGTTAGGGCCATTAAGTGAGGACTACCTGTATCAAATTGTTGGGTATGAAATAGAAAGAGATGGCTGGCAGGAAAGGACAAACGTATGCTGGATTAAAGGATTATTAAATACTAGTGCTCTCCTTATCACATACTTAGTAGGTATACAGTTTGGTAGCAAGCATCACACCACCATACCTACTCTTTTTTACTAATGGTTGAAAATGGTTTATGCGTATGTAAACTACAAATGCATATCTACGAATATGGCTCTGTCCTTATGACTGATAATTGCAAGGTCTTTCCTCAGTTCTGTGAACTGTTGCCTCCTCTGCAAATATCTTCTGTGTATTAACACTGAATTGGGGAAGAATGGTATTATATTTGTCTATTACTTGTTGCCAATAAACTTTACAACAAACTAACAACATCTGCTCCAGTAGCTACTCTGGATGGAATTTTTCTTCCCCTGATGGAAGAACTTTGTAACTTGAAGATCAGTTTAACAGATTGGTGCTTATGAGGTGTTAGGTTTTTTTATATTAATGATTGTTTTATTCTTTATATCTGAACCCTGCCCAGATTCTGTTTGGATTGGAACAGGCTATGAATATTGTCAAATAAATAAATATGAAAAGAGACTTCATATCACAGAACCCCAAAAGGTTCATTGCAACCTGTTTAGAG